CGACTATTACAGGCGCAGACACTCAAACTGAATTTCCACTCAACAAAAATTGCTTTTTAACCACAACGCCACATACCAAACACACGAATGTACTCTATTGATTAATCTTAGGCCATACGTACTAACCGAAGTACACACGCAAACTACCTATTGCTGACGTTGCCACCTCTGCCGTTACCGCTGTCGGTAGGTGCTTCTGTTGGCATGCATTAAGTTCATCAAAGATTCACCTCAGTGAACCAATTTCCAGCACTTAAATGTGGCGCATAAATTTACCGCACAAACTGCCTATCAATAACGGTAGATGTGTGTATGTATGTGCATAAATTTTGTGCTTAAAAATATTTGAGTGCATATATATTGATGGGTGCTCGTTCTGATAGATACGAAGCTGCCACCCACTTATTTTTCATTTGTGCTCCAGACAGGTAACCACTTCAAAAGTGATTTGAGAGAATGGAAAAGTATATCAAGTGGTAGCAGCAAATAGCTTCGTCAAAGTTGAATGAATGAAAGTGGCTTATTGAGAGCTTTGAACTCGCTAAAGTGGAGTGATGGCAGAGGAATTAAAATTTTATAGTGTGGCAGCAATGTTCGGCTATATGTAGGTGATAAGGATTGTAACTAAGTATAAATATATTCTAGACGTACTGTATGCCCTAAAAGATGTTGTAATAACTCCAAGGTACTAAAGTGCTCGATCGAAACAGTTGAGTTAGACAAATCAAATTTTCCTTACAAAGAGTGAAATAATTCAACGAGACAAAGTTTTTTGAGTAGGTTCACAGCTATCTACGTTGCAATTTACTCGCCTGAATCCAAAATCTACCTGGGAATGTTCTTAAATCTAAAATTTGGTTTAAAAAAACGAGATGATCTTCCAGTTTGTTGTTACAGCACTAATTTTATTCAAACTAGTACCCACGGATACTGATATCATCAAATTTTAAACGCGACGAAATGTAAGAATTCATGCCTTCCACCAAGGTATCTTTGGCAAGTCTAGAAATAAATATATCTTTTTTAGGTGGAATAACTACTAAATTTTTAACAGATGCTACTAGGTTATTAGGGGAACCTCTGGAATTGTGAGGCACTTATTACTATTAGATAGAGCTTTTCGTGGGTATTTCATTTGGTTTGAATATTTTTTCTTCGCTACCACCAATGAAAATAATAAAACAGGAAACATCTCTTTGTAAAATTTAATGTCCAGAACTTAAACTCAAAATATTCTAAACAACCAAAGCCAGAAGTATATTCCTGAGAAAAACTCTTTCTCGTGTAATCTTGTATTAAATTATCAGTAAATATAACGTATAAATAACATTCAAGGCAAATCTTAAGGACCACTGTAATAAGTAATAAACAATAACGAAGATAGGTATTTAGACAATTAGAATCCGAACCTAAAATACCCGCCTACATATGAACGCATGATATTCCCTAAATTGACTAGCGTTCGATAATAGGGATTATAGAAGGGATCGAGTGAATTTTGATACTCTGAACGAGCTGAGTTAATTTAGCCACCTCCGTTTGTCTGTATATACTACTATATACGTGAACTACATAGTTCCTCAGCTGTTGAAATATCGATTTCAAATTTTGAACACGTTCTTTCTCCTCAAGAAACTGCACATTTGTCGGAGCATATAGCTGCCATACAAACTTACTTATTGGAGTAAAGTGTTTGTATGGAAAACTTTTTCATTTGACGAGATATCTTCAAGAAATTTTGCACAAGTTATTACCTAAGGTGATGCAATCATTGAAGAATCTGTTCTGATCAAATCATTATATCATATAGCTGCCATACAAACTGACCGATCAAAATCAAGTTCATGTGTTCTAGCTTCGGTGCAACCGAAATTAACGTTTTTTCTTTTTTTATTTTTCCAAATGCATTATTTTTAAAACCAACACCAGTTTTCCAGCACATAAAATAATTACTAAAATGATATTTCCTAACCTACTGCATAATATAATATATCCCTTCCGCTTTTTTGTCTTTTGAATTTCGCGGCTATGTACAAAGCGCTACAGAGCTCGTATCTGGCAACACTATACATAATTTGAAAGGTCTTGACATAACCTACAAAACAACGCTATGCATGATTAGTTTGGATATTGCGTTCAACAGTTATAGACGTGTAAACATGGAGTTCACTAACGCCGAAATTCGCGCTATTTTAAAGTTTTTCTTCGTTAAAGGCAAATCCGCTAGAGTTAGAGAGTGGTGTTTTGGGGATGGTACTCTATCACTTCGAACCGCGAGGAATGGTTTCGACGATTCAGGAGGTGAAAACGACACCATGGATAAGCCAGCCGGCGGAAGACTGACGACAAACCGATCAATTCATGGAATACATCGTGTTAGACAGCATATGGCATCTCGTGACATCGCCCAGAGAGGGAGTTAGTCACCAAACCATTTTGAACCATCTGCAGGCTGGATACAAAAAGTTTGATGTTTGGGTGCCGCATAATTTGACGCAAAACCTTCTGGACCGAATCAACGCCTGCGATATGCTGCTGAAGGAACGATCGTCCCACTTCTTGAAGCGGATGACTGGCGACGAAAATGGATCACATACAACAATATCAAGCGAAAACGGTCGTGGTCGAAGGCCGGTGAATCGTCCCAAACAGTGGCCGCCGGGATTGACAGCCAGGAAGAGTTTTGCTGTGTTTGGTGGGATTGGAAGGAATCATCCACTGAGCTGCTTCCATATGGCCAGACGCTTAATCCTACCATCTGAACAACTGGACCGCTTGAAGAGATCGACCAGAAGCGTCCAGAATTGGCCAACAGGAAGGGTGAAGTGTTCCACCAGGACAAGCCAGACCACACACTTCGTTGATGACCTCGTCAGAGGCTACGGGAGCGGATGGAGGTTTATCGCATCCACATATAGCCGGACGAGCGCAAGTGATTACCACCTGTTCCTGTCCCGGCGAATGCCCTTGTGGTGTGAAGTGAACTCAAAAGAGGCTTGTGAAAAGTGGCTGTCGCATTCTTCGCAAATAAGGGGCTTTACGAGGAAGGTAAGTTGCCGTCTAGATGGAAACAGATCATCGAATAAACGAGCAATACGCAACTGAACGAAGCATGAAATATACGTATCCTTGCACAGGATATGTATATGTATATATCACACGCGCCCAAATATGCCTTCCTCACTCATTGTCAGCGACAGTTGCTTCCAGCTGTCACACGTGAATGCTGCAAATGACACTTCTGTCATTGATTCATCAAAACGCTACACAACACCAGTATGCCACATGCATATATAATACGTATATAAAAATATAAATTCATCCTTCATAACTAAGATTATTACATATACCAACAAACTTGACAGCAATTTATTTTCGCACATCACGCCGCACCGTAGGCACAACACTTCATTTGTTTGCTTCGACGTTCGGTTCATTCACCGGGAAAATCTTATCACTTCGCTCATCCCCGCCGTTTCAATTTCCTGACTTGTGCACAAGCTAACTTTATTACTACTACTTGTTGTTGTTGTTGTCTTGGCAAAGTGTTTATTAATAATGTGCAAGTAGCTGCTTCCGGCAAGGCAGGAACTTAATCGCACATACAAACACTTGTAGCGGAGTTACGGATGCGCACATACACGATAATTACTTATATATACTTGTATATATGTGGAGTGTAGCATAAGCAATGAGTCGCGCACACTAATACTCTAACAGCATAATGGGTCTATGTTTATGTTCGAGCGTATTATTAAACAGTGTATTCACCAACATCAACTGTCGACATTCGTTGTATTTCTGCATTTTCAATATCTTTCTATTATAATATTTGTATTTTTCTTGCAACGCACTCAACACTTGTCGCTTCTTTACGCCTACTCACGCCACTTTCATGAAGTTATTGCTAGTTTGAGCTGCTCTCCTGCTCATAACGGAAATACACGTGTATCGACTACGTAAGAAACGTAATTTTGGCGACATAACACACATACACGTATCATAAAACTATTCCATCACTTGCCTATATACATATCCATACTTATACATTTGAGGCATCTACTTAATAACCAATTTTCGTTCACTAACTTTTACGTTGTGCCACAAACTACTACCGCTACACACACACACATATGTATATATGTAGGTATACAAGTGTGTTTTGCACAATTAACTGGCAACATATTGCCGACACAACATCATAATATTTTCGGCATCATTTGTTAAATGTTTGTCATAGCTGAAACTTGGCGAAACTTTCGTGACTTACTAAAGAAAGTCGCGTACGTTTCAGCACATGACGTAACCTTTGTGCGTAGGCTCGCGTTTACACGTATTTATACAACTTTAACACATATATATGTGCAAATATAGGAAGTACCTAAGGTACTATACATAATATATACTTGTATATTTATGAGCAACTGCCTTGGGCAATGGGTTATGACTATGGATTAGTCAAGCGCAAATATACAATATTAAGAACATAATGAAATCATCAAACCTCACATACTTTGGCCTTTTGCCAATACATTCACACTACGAATATATGTATGCATAATATTGATTCAAAAGAAAAATTAACTCCTAAATTGATTACGTGAGTGAAGCACATAATGCATTGCGATATTTATAAACGTATATATCAATAAAAACTGTATGCTTATGTTTTATTAAAATAATTATTTTTGAGCATAACTGTAATATTTGAAAAGGTTCCAAAGAGTAATTACAGTTTTTCTATGCAAATCATCAAATAAAAAAAAAATTCAGGAAGGAAACGAAGCCAAGTGCAAATAATTAACAAAATAAACATAATATTGGTTGGTAATATTATAATATAGTGTTGTATTTATAATACGCGAAAAGTTTTGTAAATTAAAAATATTTAACTATTAATTACCTTAAAATTTTGAACAGTAAGAGAGTTAATGTTTGTTGCTTTATCTTCCTGAAAAATAAATTAAAAATACTTATTTTAGATAAAAATGATTGGTATTCAGGCAGAGAATGTGAGTGTACAGAAAAGGTGCAAATGTTAAATCTATTAATGAAGCGTGGCTAAGTCGACACAGGGTCTCCGACGTTTCCTTTTGGGCCCTGTTCAGCGTATAAGAAGTATAGAATAATTAGTGTTTTTCAATACAACCCTGAAACAAACACACATATGATTGTGTATTTGTAAACAAAAAACTTGTCAAAAAGAATATTGTGAAAAATATCATTGTTACACAAATGCCACAAGATTTTCAATTGCTGCCGAAGATCATCAATGGAGCCGTTGGCTCCATGACCGGTGTCGCCTGTGTCTATCCACTGGACTTTGTGAAGACGCGGCTGCAGAATCAGCAAATCGGACCGAATGGTGAGAAGCAATATGCCAGTATAGCAGATTGCTTTCGCCAATCCATACGCAACGAGGGCATACTCGGCATGTATCGCGGCATTAGTGTTATTTTTCTGCTCGTCAGCCCAGAGAAGGCTGTCAAACTTGCAGCTAATGACTATTTTCGCTTTCATTTAACGCATGCTGACGGCTCATTGCCTATGCCACAACAGATGCTAGCCGGTGCCGGAGCTGGTTGCTTCCAGGTGCTTGTCGCAACACCAATGGAGTTCATCAAGATCCAGCTACAAGATGCGGGACGTGTGGCCACAGAGGGTCGCGTAACGGAACGCATAACGGCCAGAAGTATATTTTTGAAAATGTATCGGGAACGTGGTATCATCGGTTTGTATCGCGGCATAGGGCCAACGGCCTTTCGCGATATATTATTTTCACTCATCTACTTTCCGCTCTTTGCCGGCTTGAATGATTTGGGACCGCGTAAAGCTAACTCGGAGGACGCTGTACCGTGGGTCTCATTTTTGGGTGGTTTAATTGCAGGTTGTACTTCTGCGTTTGTCGTAACGCCGTTCGATGTGGTGAAAACTCGTTTGCAAGCACTAAAAAAACGCGCCGGCGAACAAGAATTCCATGGCATTATGGATTGTTTTGTAAAAACTTGGCGAAATGAAGGTATTACGGCTCTATTCAAGGGTGGACTGTGCCGTGTTATGGTCATCTCGCCCATGTATGGCATAGTACAGACCATTTACTTCTTGGGTGTGGGAGAGGCGATATGCGATAAACTATATAAAATGTTTAATTGAAATGTTCTATAAGAGCGATGTACAAAAATGTCAAAATCAAAGTTTTTGTTTTTGTTCGTAAATAAATCGTATATTAAATATATATCTGACCATATTTTTAGCACCTGCTTCTAGCATGTTATACTTGCGTTTTCCTCTTTTGCGTTTGAAAATCGCCTAGCTAGCAATTTTGTACACATATATTGAAATGTATAAATTGGTCTTCAAACTGACAAGTAAACGACAGCAAGCTATGTTTCCACATTTTTTTTTATAAAAATACTGTTTAACATATCTATGTAAGAATGTAATAAGATTTTAGCGGGAGCGATGGTACGGCAATAGAAGACGAGAACTGAGAAGACACTCACAGACCCCAAAGAAGGAAAATAAGTTTTTCGGAGAAACAAGAGGTAAATATAGTTTAATAAGGAGAGTCTGAATAATACTGAAGACTTTAAGAATGCTTCATCAAAAGTACTGGTGGCACTCAGATAATTATATATGAGATATGGTAACAATCACAAAGCACAATTCTTTATGAAATTATACGAGTTCTGAGCCGTAAGCAAATTCTGAGCAAATATTATTAAGTGATTACGACCGAAAATAGCTGACGCTCCAAAAATATATATATAAGGATCGTATTAAACATATAAATAATAAATAGCAACTAAACGATTCAATGTATCAGTAACGGTAAAAAATTACATAAATTGCACATATTATCCTCAGATCTCATTAAAATTATCGCTGAAAACTGATCGATATGGCACTATACAAACTTACCGATCAAAATCAAGTTCTGTATGTAAAATTGTTTTATTCGACAAGATAACTTCATGAAATTTGGCACGATTTATTATACAAGGCCACGCTAGAATCTTCAAACAAATTATTGAGATCAGAACACTATAGCATATAACTTCCATACAAGCTGACCAATCCAAATTAATTTCTCTTATGGAAATTTTTTTTATTTGAAAATATATCTTTAAGAAATTTGGCATACATAAATTCCAAGGCAACGCCGTTATATTCTAATAAATCCACTATACCATATAGCTGTCAAACTGACCGATAAAAATCATGTTCTTGTATGGAAATATTTTTATTTATGAAGGGTATTCCAGCTTCGGTGCAATCAAAGTTAACGTGTTTTCTTGCATTTTAACAAAGTTTAATAAATCTTTGGTTCGATTTAACCTTTGATAAATATTCAAATAGGCTTAACTTTTTCTGAAGTGAGAGGAAACTAAATTGTGCTTATACCAAATGACGAAATGACAACCAATTTAAATGAAAAACGAATCATAGAAACGAATAGTTGTTGATATAAAATCAGAGAATATCGAATTCCATTAAATGATCACGCTCAATACCTAGGAAAATTTTCCTATATGCTGACGTTGATATATGCATACTGAATTATATTTAAGCTGTATATACATACGTGGGTCTCCATGATAAGCGTTAATAAACCTTTTACTGCCTTCTCAAACGATTTTCGTACATTTTTCACATTTTCTCACACTCTATCCTCACTCATAATAAAAGTAAACGTGCACTGCACGCGTAGTTAGCAACCGCCATTTACTACCTACACCCAATAGTTAACCATTGTTGGCAGCAATAAACCGTTATCGTTGTATATGGGTTGCATTAAAAGTGTTATTGAGCAGTTTACATTTTTCAATTTCAACAAGTGCGTGATTTAAATAAATTACATACTAAGTTACCTGTTACGTGAATATAAATACACATACATATGTATACTATATACAAAAGCAATTCGTGAGCGGCGTACAAAACAAAATTTGAATTGCTCGTGATTAATTGCGTTGTGTCGTGTGTGCTAAACTTTAAGCCAAACTAAGCACAAATCACGAAAGTCAATTCAAATTTGTTGCCTACTAAGCCACACACGGGATATTGTAAATCCTTATGCATATAAGGGAGCTATATGAAATGTACAGTTTGATGAAGTTGAGTGGATATGAGTAGAGTGCAGTGCTCATTAGTGACTTTTGTGGCGGCACACATACATACCTACCTACATGCACATACACTCATGCGCATATACATATTTACACAGAATTCTTACGGCATGCGAGTTGCGTAAGCGACGCCGATAAATTATTGTATGTCGTTTATATGGATTCACTTAATTTAAATTGCTTACTACTACAAATGCAAAAAAATTTCCAATGCATGCAAAACTCATTTGTATTACTTCGCAAACGGGAAATGATGCATGATTTCATGAAAAATTACCCATATTAATTCAATGAAATTATTCTTTCACTTAAGTGTAAGCAAACATTTTGGAATTAATGTAAAACCATTTTTTGTCAATCCTTTAATTTTTTGAGCTTTTATTTGCTTATGCCTGAAACTAAAAAATGTTAAGGCATAAGGTGAACTTTATAAAGGTAAGTAGTCTATTAAAAGATATTTAGAAAATATATAAACGGGTATACTAAATTATATGTGTATCCGAGGATTTACTTCCTATTCATTTTAAAAACAATTGTTTCTAAAAGCACTAAAATTCTTTGAAAGTTGTTAAGAAAATTAATTGAATTAAAAAGTACTTCTTTCAATAATGTTAAACATATTATTTACATTACAGTATTATGAAAGTTGAAAACGATAAAATAAGAGGACTGTTAGAGTGCTAGGCTAGTTAAGAGACCTCAAAATTACTAACTTTGATAATTTGTTCTTTCAGGTGGTGTTAAAACCGTTTTTTTATACCCTGAAGAGAGTTTAATAAGTTAGCCTCGAAGTTTGTAAGACCTAGGAGAAATATTCGGAGACAATATTAAATCTATATATAAAAATGTTCAGCGTGACGAGCTGAGTCGATTTGTGCCATACATATCAAACAAACTTACCTATCAAAATCAAGCTCTTGTATAGAAACTTTTTTATTTGTGAAGGTTGTTATAGCTTAGATGCAACTGAGGTTAATGCTTTTCTTGTTTTATATTGACAAAATGGCGGTTATGCCAATCTTCGCAACAATTTTTTTCAAAAGGTTCAACACTTTTATTTATATTTAATTTCTTTTAGTTATAGTGATTCAGTCTGAAATCTGTAAACTTTTTTTATACCTTTTGATTCCAGCTTTTTATTTTAAAAATCTTTTTTTTTTAAATTTTTTAATTATAAAATATATTGTGAGTCTTTAATTTCGATTTGGGGGTTAAAAAACTATATTTTAAATTTTTTAATTCAAGATATTTAGAATTATACATAAGATTTTTAATTTTCAAAATTTCGAATTAAAATTTTGCAACTGTGTTATTAATTAAAATAAATGTAATGATAATTTACGACAACGCTCTTTGTTATACTTGATTATTGTAAGACCAGAAAGTAGATAACTTAATGGCTTTAACGATTCTAAAGTTATCAAAAATAAAAATATTTTTTAAATAAAATCTACCACCGGTTTTAAAAAGAAAATTAAGAGCATTACTTGTTAGGTAGCTCGATTTTGTGCTTGCCCAATTCTGGACTTAAAATTTAGACAGTGTTTTTTAAACCAGTTATTCTAGAGAACCGCGGAGTGATTCTTTATGTTTTTTATTTAATTTTTACTATTTTTAGTCAAAACAAAGTAAAAGTTTGTTTTAATATTCGCTATTAGGAATATAAGGAAATCTCTTTGTTTTTATCGGGTTTGAAAAAATTTAGAAACTACAAACATTATCATAACTATATATAAAATTTAATACTCTTCAAATAAAACTTTGATTTAACATTTAAGGAAACCAAACATTTATTCTAACCTAACACTAAGCACCAGTTTAACTTTTTCAGCTTTCATGCAAAAAATTTAAGAACAGCGGAGCAAGCGTGAATTGACCAGGCAAGAGTGTTTTTCAATGCTTTGACAAAAATCTCTATTGACTTTTATAGCAGGCATGACATTTATAGCGGAATAAATATGAACAGATTTTTATCGTTTTGCTACCTTTGATGTCTTCACCGCTGCAACTTGAGCACAAAGCAAGCCAAACGCTACAACTACATACGAGTATATGAGTATGTTTCAGTAAACTACTGCTGTATGAAAATCCAACAGCACATGCTGTTACTCATACGCCATGCCAACCGACTAGCATAAACAAATATGCATGCCATACATTTGTATGTAGCAGCGTTTCTGCTATTCACTTTTAGTATCCTCTGTTGATTTAGTTTTATTTCTTGCTTTTATAGCATAAATGGCATAAGTGTAGGTATGGCATCCATGTTATTATTTATACTCGTATATTGGCATTTATGCTAGGAACATATTGGTGGAAAACTTCAGCCAAACTTAATGCACACATACACATGTTAAGCTTTTGCTTGGATATATTTCCACTATGCACGTTATGTTCTTCCGTAAAGCATATAATGACGACATTTATGCGATATTAAATTTCATCAATCAAAGTCTTTTGCGCAAGGCGAGTAATGTTATACAAATATGAAAATATATACGAACATATGTATATATTTTGCAAGCGAGGATGTCATTTGCTCTTTCGAAACGTTTGTATGACACTCTTATGTGTATATTTCTTTGAATAGTATAAATATACTATATACTATATATTATGTATAAAAGTCATATTATACATATGTACGAGTACGAGTAAAAAAAAGGATATATGGAAGTATATAGATGTGTTTCCTCATAAACTTTAATGAAATTTAAAATTACTTATCTGCTAATTCTTGTTTTTTGAGCTATTGGCTTGAGTATACCAGGTTCCAGCTAATCTCTCCAAATAAATTCTGGAGAATGAAAGTTGTTTAGAGCTTGGAAAAAAAACTGTTTTTGTTTTAATTTCACTTATATTGGTGTGCTCGCCTGGTCAGAGCTCTTTGCTATAAAATGTGAGGAGATCTCGAAAGGAAACCTAGGCGGTATGCGCCCTTTGATCTCAAATGAATTATTTCAAGGTTTTTACTAAATTACTAGTCAACGAGTAGCCTTTGACTGAAAGTGACTGAAATTGATATTGGTCGCCGACACTAATTTGTTGTAGGCTCAAAACACTTCTTCGGTCCGTAAAGGTCTGGTGATCGATATGAGTAGCAGTA